TCACTGCCCTTCCAGTTTTCCTCCTGAAGATCCACTTCAGAGCAGAAAGGTCACGCTGAACAGGTCTGCAGCTGCCCCAGACCACCGCTGTGTGGTTGGGTTTGGTGGGTGGGTGCGTGTGGAGGGTCCTTGGCAAGGTGTAGATGCCCTCTCCCAGCCTGAGCCTATGTGCTCACATCGAGGTGAATGTGCCACGTTCTTGGCCCCTGTGCTTTGGCTGGGGTCTGGGACACGCAGGTCTGGGTGTGTGGGCACCTGTGGGGGTGGCCCCATATGCTGTCAGGCACACATATATCTGCTTGAATCCATGTGTGGCATGGATGTCTGTGTGTTTACACACATCCACCCAGTGGCACACACACACACACACATGCAGTCATACAATAAACACTCATTTGCATGCATGCACATACAGCACATACAAATGCCTCTCTGTCTGCTCTTGTGCAGAGACCTGGTGTGAGCATGAGCTCTCTGACAGAATGGGTTCCCCGTGTTTCTATCACCCCATCTGTAATTACACATTTGCTGGGAAGAGGATTGCACAATGCTGCTGAAATCATTGCAGCCCTTTCTAGTCTTGCAGCTATGATCACTACGTGACAAGAATGAAACCTTTTGTGCAGCAGAGGGCTTGATGGAGCCCTTATCTCTGTGTCTCTGCACACAGAACAGAAAAACTCTTTTCCATATCTGACTGGAGCAAATCCCCCCTGAACATGTCCAGACTTTCATTTAGCCACTGCACATGGTCCCCATGGCCTCTGGGTTGCCCAGAGTCAACCACACCATCGTTAAGGAGAGGGAACACAAGGGCAGTCAGATTAATGCCATTACCACAGAAAACTCTGGGGATTCACCAACAGGAAGACAGCGCTGAGGAAAGAGAAGGGGTCATGAGGCAGTAACCTCCTGACCATCATTCCAAATGCCTGTTCCTATGAAAAACAGCCTTTAAATCAGTGGTGATAGTTTGAAGAATTTTGTGGCATTTGTTTTCTCCTGATGAATTTTGGACAAGAAATACCTTTTCCTTCCCCTCCCCCAGTCTTATTTTCTGTTCATCTTCATTTTTTATTTCCCCAGTTTGTCACTGCAAAACAGGATACAGCCTAGGGGGGTGAAGAAAACACAAGACAGAAAAATGTGATGCTTGTGTCTCTTTTCTTTTAAACCCCTATTTAATCAAAAATCTCCATATTTATTTTTTTTTCCCTGCAGATCTCCCTGGAACACATTCTGTTTGCCCCAGCAGGCTGCTCTGCAGAGCTGCCTTGGTGGGAGCTCAGATTCCATGTGTCAAAATGATGTCTCCTTGGCACAATTGCTTGGTGCTGGCATTGCAGTGCTTGGGCTCTTAAGGAATGTTGGTATTTTAAGAAGCCAACCAGTCGACGGAGTTTCTTGAATGGTGATTTGCAGCAGATGGAGCTGCAAAGGCGTGTGAAATGAAGTCTCAGCTCAGTTTGGTGGTGAAGGAGACTGTCTCTATTATGTGTGTTGGCAGCTGGGAAGCTCCCCCCATCTCCCCTACGGCAGCTGGGCTGCTGCTCCATGGATAAGGAAACCCATCCTACATCTGCCCCCCAGCCACCTGAGCTGCTCCCTGCGAGGTCCTTGCTCACAGTCATATGCCTTCTTCAGTGCCTGGTCATCAAGCACAAGCAGTGCTACAAGCTCCTCAGATAATACAATTTCTGCTCTGTCCTGCCAGGGATTGCTCTGCCGGGGGAGTCCAGCATTCACCTGGCTCTGCTCTTCTCTGCAAGAGAAGCAACACAGACCGGAGTTTGAAGTGCTGTGTTGTCCATCTATCTGATCATTTGGTAGCCAGCCCTTTTAATCTTTCTACCACTTGTTGCCCCTTATAGAGGCAGAAGCTTTGGCAGTCCATCCTTACTCTGCCAGGATTTCTTGGTTGTGTTTCACCCAGTGGATGTTGCAGGAGCTCCCCAAGAAACTAAAACAGAGGCTTTTTTTAGTCCAGCAAACTGTATCCCACGCCCAGTGAATAGTTTGGCTGATTTTTTCTGACTGGGGCCCACACTGTGGGAAGCATGGATTGAAGGAGAAAAAGATGTAAAGACTTAGCAGAAGATTGAAACTGGCTACCAAACTCTTTCTTTTCCCTGTGAGCTGAGCCTGCACTCCCGGGTGTCTGACTGTCCCTGCTCAGGGGAGTGCTGTAAGGGCAGCTGAGCAGTTCCTGTTCCTGCCTGGTCTGGCAGGCAGCTCAGCTCCCGAGGCTGAGCCTGCAGGCATGGACAGCTTGGGACCAGCATCGCAGGCTTAAAGAGGAAACATGAGGATGTAGGATTTCAGGGGACAATCTTTGTCATGGAGGTGATGGCAGTACCAGTGGCTGAGAGCACAGCTGCAGGTGTTTTGGCTGGTTGTGCCTGCCCACCCTTCCTCTGCTCTCTAGCCTGGCTAGGAGGTGTCTGTTCACCTGAGGCCCTGTGACAGTCCTTTTCCAAAGCTGGGTGCCCTGCACTGCAGTTCTGATGCCTGCCAGGCCTTCACATCTTCTCACATTGCCTTTGTGTGACCTTAACTCTTGCTTCCTCATAAAGTGGTTCTGTTCCCACGATCCTCAGCTGCTGCAGCTTGTTCTGCTTCCCAGCTCAAGGCTTTTGGCTTCTGTCCCAGCACACCCCACCCCATGCCACCCCTTCCCTTCTCTTACCTTCTCTCAAGTGACCCGTGAGATATCTTTCCATTACCCAGCTAGCTCCCAGAACCCTAATCCCTCCACAAGTCACCTCCTGCAACATCTCCTGACCTCAGGGAGGCATGTGTCCTTCTGGTGGGTCCCTCCTTCCCATTTCTCAAAATTGTTTGTGGAGAACACTGCCCAAAGGGCTGCAGTATGAGGGCTGTTTTGGTGGCTGTAGCTTAGCAATGCCATTCATGGAGAAGTTAGAAGTGTGGGGACAGACATTTTAGGAGAGCTTCCGGAATGAAGCCAAAGTGGAGAGAGAGACCTTCATCCCACCCACCCTTGTACAGCGCTGCTCCTCTAGCCTGCACACTCAGATGGGCCCATGCACAACTTCTCTCCAACAACCAGCGTTCAGGAGCAAGCACTCATCCAACTCCACAGCAGCACACTCGCTCTCCAACTCTTGTCCAAGCATTCACATCCACACTTAAACATCCTGCAATTGCATAAACACACTCCCTCATCTGTGTTTATGTATGCATACCCCTCTAGGTGTCCCTGTGTGCACATGTGCACAGCCCCAGCAGATGAGCGTCAGTGCCCAGGACTGGCACCAGCCTCCCACCACCCTGACTCCTCTGTCTCCGATCCTCTTCAGCCATCCCCATACAGGTACAGTCCAGGGAACAAAGTTTTGCCTACTTTTCTGGCAAAACTACCTTTGTGCACATGCAGACGCATCATTTGTTGACCATCCTGAGCCAAAATACTCTACCACTTCCCAGAGGATAAACTGGTTCCTAGTATTGCACAGACTCTTCACAAGCACAGCTCTCACACACTGGAAATCCCCTGACCTTTGTCTGCTTCCTGTCCCCATCCTGAACTGAGAGATGTCTTCATCTCTTTTGTCAGCCAAACATGACTCCATACAGAGATTGACTCGACTCAGAGACATTGTGTATTCTCAGGAGAGCCAAATCCATAGCATCGCCTCCCCTAAACGTCTAGAATGGTTTTGCCCATCTGGCCTTCCAAGTCCAAGGGCTTTTTCTTTATTTACAGTAAGGCTTAAAGAGAAGAAAAAAAATGCTGCCTCCAAGTCATGTCTCATTGCCTTCTTCTCTACCCTTGTTATACCTCCCACCAGGGCACAGAGGCACCAGGAGAACCCTGAGGAATGTGAGGTGCAGAAAAAAAAATACTCAATTTTTTTTCTCTCAAGTAAGTCTTGACATCCTGCCCAGAGTCTGTAAGAGCTCTGAAAAGAAAGAGGAGGTTCTGAGCAGTCAGTGGTCTCCAGCCATGACTAACACAGGCAGGAAATCTGTCCCCCAGACTTTTTGAAGAACTAGAGAGGGGCCAGCCATGCATGCAACTGGCTGGTATGTCTTTGCTGCAGACATTTCTCCTTCCTGTTCATCTTTTAAGGTAAACCACTTCTCATGTTTATAAGGAGGGTAGTCAAGGCAATAGGCTGCCTACATATGGCCTTTACGCCATCTGGGGACTTCCTTGAGGTGCCACCATGAGATGGCAACCTATGCCCTCCAAAGCTGGGTCATCTAAGGGCAGGTCATGGCTCTAGGGCTGACCTTGCTCTCTCTGTACCCTCAGTGCCCATCACCTCTTCAGCTTTCCCTAAATGCAGTCTGCTCTTTACCTGGTGTTGCCAGATGAAAAATTGTTTGCTCCTGGTGGTGAATACGATGCTTATTCTTCAAAAGCCACTGGCCTATGGAACTGCACAATGTTTATTCTGTAGGAAGAACTACTCAAAAGCAACCAGCCCAGTTGTGTCAACTTTTACCACTTCACCAGGAGTTCAGGTTTGACTTTGGGGTCATCAACCACTACCACGAGACTCCCAGGACAGAAGAACACATGTGTAAAGGAGAAGGAAAATACATCAGTGGTTTTGGGGAAATTAATATCATATGTATGTTTATTCTGGGAAAATCCATGAGCATGTATGCAAAATATAGTATATAAATGGGAGCTTTTTCTGTACTCAGCATGCATGATATTTGGAAGGGGATATTCACTCGTGCATCCAGACAAATAAAGAATGCCTGCTTCTTAATGCTACATTAGTGTTAAGGAGGTTTTATTTTTACCAATTTCTGGTAACACTGGTACCACACAAACCTCAGGTGTCTCTTCCAAAGCCAAGAACAATGCCTTGCTTCTTCCACAAGATCATGGAGCCCTATTAATCTTTAAGCATACTCTTGGACTATTATTCCCTTGTATCGGTGTCTCCCATCGCCTTTGAAAGCAGAGAAGGTGAAGGGGATCCCATGTCCCAATGTCTCTTTCCCCTGCACCACCCCTTTCATCATAAATAACTGACATGCAACTTGTTGCTCTTTTCACATCCCACAGGCTCCTCAGGGAGCGGTTTTTGCTCATTGCTTTTTCCTTCTCCGCTGCTTAGAGGGCGCTCCTGCCTCTCATTACCATTTTGGGTTATCTTGCTGATCTCACCCTCTTCCCTTTCGTCATCAATCTTCTCTGGGGGGCATGCTGGCACCTCCTGGCTCTGGACTCGGCGGGACGGCCTGAAGATGGCCCTGCGGAAGCCCTGCTTGAAGCGGTAGGAGAGGAAGCCGTAGATGATGGGATTGGCACAGCTGTTGGCATACGGCAGCACCACCACGAGGAAGTAGACTCCAAAGAGGGACGGCTCCTCTGGCAGCGGGCAGACAACATTGATTATGTTGAGGACATAGAAGGGAAGCCAGCAGAGGACAAAGACAGCCACCACAGTCACCACCATGCGGGTCACTCTGCGCTCTGAAAGCTTGTGCTTGGAGGACAGAGCCCTCACCCGCCTGCCAGAGGAGCGAACCTTCACAACAATCAGGAGATAGCAGAGGCAAATCACCAAGAGTGGTCCAAAGAAGCCCAGGGTAGCAGTGTAGACAATGAAGCCAGCTCTCCACACCGAGGCAGGCTCTGGCCACTGGATGTGGCATGTACTCATCCCTAAAGGGACATCTGAGAAGACAACCACGGGCAGCACCACTATGGAAGACAGCACCCACACGGTTACACTCACGGCCTTGGCCACCCGTGCTGTCCTCCATTTGGAGGACTTCCCTGGGTGGACCACAGCCAGGTAGCGGTCAACGCTCATCACCGTCAGGCAGAAGATGCTGGTGAACTGGTTGATGGCATCCACGGCCATCACCAGGCGGCACATGAAAGAACCAAATGGCCAGTAGGACAGGGCGTTTTGCGCAGCCAGGAAGGGCAGGCCCAGCATGAAGAGCTCGTCGGCCAGGGCCAGGTTCAAGATGTACACGTTGGTCACCGACTCGCTCACGGAGTGCCGCAGGACCACATAAATGACCAGGGAATTCCCAGCCAGCCCCACCACACAGACAATGAGGTAGACCACAGGGATGAGGACACCGCTGACAACTACACCAGGGCTGTCGGTGGAGGAGCTGTTGGGGGTAGTGAAGCCTGCCCAGCTACTGGAGGCATTCCCCTCCTCCAACACTGCCGGCGTGGGGAGGCTAAAAGCAGAAGTGTCCATAGCAGAGGCAGGGAAGAGGGCAGGGGGCAGTGTCCTTGCAGGATCAGTTAGCAATCTGGAGCTGAGGGGAGGAGAAAAAAACATTGATACTGGGGACATGACAGCTGAACAAGCCACAGGTAAAATCACCACATTAACTGTGTCTTAGGTATGGGCAGGCACGGGAAATCAAGGGGAGTTTGTGGATGGTAGCAGATGCTGGAAGGTCTAGGACAATATCAAACTCATCTAGTCCTGCAAGGCACAGAGGACATGGAGGGACAAACAGGGACATGGCTCAATGTGGGCCTCTCCTCTAGCGAAAGATCCTCTGGGGAAAGAACAACAGACTAGCATAAGGACAGGGAAAGTTTTCATTATCTGCTAAGAATCCGATGCTGAGGACATGGTCGCCAGGGGCCTGGTTCTCATTTATGAGTGGCAGGTGCTTTACAAACAAAAGAGGGAAAAGCATCCAGTGATAAAGTGCCTTTCCAGCTCTGACTTTCCTATTCTCTGAGTATTTAGTCTCCTGCTTGCTGAAGCTCTTTTTGGACTGGCCAGGTTATTGTTTTCCTTCTCCCCACAGGAGAAGGAAAAGCACATTCAATCCAAGCAGAGAGGCTTAGCTCAGCACCTGCCTTCCTTAGCTGAGGAGCCCAATTGCTCGTCATGTCAGGGTTTGGCATGGAAACAGCGCTCGGCTCACTCAGAGACAGCCTTGAGCAAACAAGCTCTCCATTCACCACCAGCTTGCTGCTGACACTGGGTGAGGAGCTGCAGGGAGAGAAGGGACAGTTAAGGGAAGGACGTGCCTTTTGTCAGGGCTCCATGTCTGAAATACAGAGCCCAGCAAGTACTGTGGACCAGAGACACCCTGGAAAACCTAATGCAGGGGAGATTCGTGTTTCTTTCAGGATTACTCCATATCTGGAAAAATTTTCTGGAAGTGTGGACTGACAGGGTCATCCCCTTGAATTAGGTCCTTGGAAGGGAAGATGATTTGGTGGAAGTGAATGGGGACCTTTTTCACACCTCAGAAAATCTCTTTGGGCTCTGAAATTCCTTTTCTATTGAAAATAAAACTGAGGATGTCAAAGGAAAGGACTCCCAACCTTAACTATTTTCGGGAGGCCAGAGACACTCCAGAGACTTTTCTCATGGATGTGATTTTCTGTAGCATCACAACTTCCTTCACTAATGTCTAATACTACAGTGTTTGGGGGTTTTTTGTTTGGTTGGGTTTTTGTTACTTGTTTGTTTGTTTGTTTGTTTTGTAGGTGCCATTCCAAGTTCTGGAAACCCTAGGGGAGACCTGAGCTTTAGGTGGACTCCTTGGACATCACACAGGCGAGCCAAACAGACCCCACAAATATATATCAAATTTTATGCTGAAGAAATCTCATCTCATAGGCCCCATAAAAACAGTTGGACAACTATGTCTTAAGGCCATTCCTACAGGCTATTGTATAAATATTTCCTGCATTAGAGCATCTCAGCTTTGACAGACTGGGATTGCTTAGATTTTCCTGATTTTCAGGTGCCTTGGGCTGTGACACACTGTCCTGACAGAAGCCCATCTCATGGGGTCCTGCAGCACTGGGTGGTCCCACACATCACAAGTGGCTGCAATGAATAGGCAGAGTAGGAATTGACTTGAAATTCTAAGTTCAAGGATGTTTCCTCTGATATTTTTTCCAATTCTGTTCTAGTGACACAAATAACTTGTAGGAGAAAAGAGGAGGATATTGGCCGCTCTAGGGATGAAGATCCCTACAAAAGGTGGCAGAAGCCACAACAGTATGTTCATAAAAGGATGATCCTCTATAAGATGAAGACATAGATAGGAATCCATTTGGATGTTCCTCCTGCATACAAAGGAATTTAAAGAAGAAAAAAGCCAAACATATGGAGCCTTACAAATACCAAATATGGATGGAGATACTCCTGGTAGAGCTGGAAAGCATTTGGAGAAGTGTCTGGGGTCCAGACCTCAAACCCAGTTGCTCAGACTGTTGTTTAGCAATACAGTAAATCCAGCTTCGGGGTAGCTTCAGAAGCCCTATCAAAAATGCTAAAGAGTGCAACTAAAAGCATGGATTTCCTATAAACTGATTTTCCTGCTCAGGCAGCTGCAGGGGAGAAACTTGATCTTTAAGCAGGCGGGGTCTGTTGCTGCCATTCTAACTTTGCCAAGTGCCATGTACCAGCTCAAATGCCATGTCGCACATTTTGGCTAGTTTGGCAGAAAAAACAGTGGGCACCAGTGCTCCATCTAGTTCGGATCGACTCTCCTGGTTGCTCTGGCAGCACATGCATAGGTAGGAGTTGGTGAGGATCCCTGGCCTCAGACTGATAGTGTGTTGGCATCCACTTGGATCTGTTCCTGATGCAGACAGCACCTGTTGCAAGAGGCTTGGGATCCTCTAACAGGTGCTACCAGAATATGCCTGGTTCATGCAGCTGGAGAGCAGGAAGAAGGCAGAGAGATAGGAGAGATGGGAAATTGGCACTACTTCTTTCCTTAGGGGAAAAAACATAAATATATATATATTTATATATATTTCTGCATTGAATGAGAGGAGGAGGTGGATGCTGAAAGCTGAGCCTAGTCCTGGTAACAAACCATGGATAGCAGCTGGGAGGGACAACACGGCCAAATAACCTGCACCACCCCCTCTTGGCCCCCTCCCCTCCTGTCCCCGCTGTTTTCCCGCGGCCCTGCTCCAGCTCAGGACTCTCCCGTCTCACCTCGGGCTTGAGCTCTCTCGTAAGGACCAGGCTGGACTGGCAGAGTTGGAGGGTCGGCAGAGGGGGGTGGTCGGCAGGTTTTCTTCTCTGGAACTGCAGACTTAACTTCTGCATGGACTCATGCCCGCGGGAGACATCTGGGAAGAG